GTGAATAGTCACGATAGCGAATATGGTAGCAACCATGATATTCAACGATCGATAACGGTCATAGAACTAGAAGAAGAAGAGGACGGAATGGGAATATCTAAAAACGATTATAGTAATTATTTGGCATTCAAGGCAAAATTAGCAATGCTATGGTAGTGGTTAAACTTAATAGTTTACTATTTTATATTATTCTAAGGCTAGTCCTGGTGGTATTATGTACTTTTTTAAACTCATAAAAATCATAAATTCATAAGTTGTAATCAATCACGGTTTAATAGTTATGAATACTTTCTATTTTACTTTAATTAAGACTATAACTTACTTAAAAATTATAAAATTACTGCTTTTACGTCTTAAGACAAACGTAACAAACTACAAGATTAAAAACTGTCAAAAATATTTTTAACATAAAAACATTCTTCGATACAATTAATATTTCAGTTAATAGGTGGCAATAAATATAAATGTTCAAGTCTTGTAATCACATTATTTGTAAAAATAATTGTCATACTCGAAATATTTGTACAGGTTTTTGTGGAACTTAAATCTATTTACTAACTGTACAGGAACTTATAAATATATATAAAAAGGAAGAAAAGGACGATATATTAAAGCTTCAAGTCGCAATATACAATGACATGAGATTTTCTGGCTACAATAATAAGTATTAAAAGTTAGTTAATCAAAGAGTAAGTTTTACAACAGCATCAATCAATTGTTAACTTTTTCAAAAGTAAATATTACTTTTAATGGTCATATCGTCATCCAAAAACCAACAAATAAATTTGGAAAATTATATTGGATTGTGGTTGTTACCAAAGCGATTCCTCTTGAATCCACGTTTAAATGTATACCTTTATACGACGGAATTTTGTTATATTTTAAACCACACGCAATAATACAAAATTAATTTTTAAGCCTTTTCAACTAAAGGAAAACTATTAAAATTTTTAACTATACAAAGAATGTCCGGTTTTGCAGACGCAGCAGTGATAAATTTGATGCAAAAAAATACAACATAAGAAAGTTTATAGGAAAACTTAGTATAAACTAATACGTCCTGAAGTAGAAAAACATGCCGGAATAATGAAGAAACCCCCAACAACTAATTATAAAAATGTGATCAACAAAAATCACAATGACAATATACTCTTTAAATGACCATGGCTAATCAAAACACGGAGATATAGCAACGGTGTGTATCTAGGTATACAATAAATAGCAATATATACAATATACTACCAAAGAGAGCTCTCGCTATTTGGTTAATTTTGATATAGTACATAATCCTAAAACAGCTCACTTGCTGAAATATAAGGTTCAAGATAAAAATCGAAAATTTATTATATACTAAAAAGAGATAACGAATATTGTTTTCAAATTTCGTGAACAATATTCCCTTTAATACTAATTTGACAACTAACTTTTGAAAAAATTACTAGTGGTGCGTTATCAGAATTAGAGTAACATTTTCCTCCTATTTTTTCTGCCACTTGAAATAAAAAATCTGTTACATTTTCTAAATTCTCTTTATTTTTGTTTGCGCTACCGATTAAATTTTTCAAAAGTAATGTCCGAATTTTTTACTCCCTTCAAGATTATATTATTAACCAAATTGTAAGACAATAGTTATAAGCATATTTGATTTATAACAAATTGATTCTAAACTTGGCATTACCTATATCTCAACAACTAAGCTTTTTTATTTCTCTATATTTTATTTTATTATCCTTTATTTTTCTATTAGTCAGTCGGCCAATATCCAACTGCTTTATATATATATATATATATATATATATATATATATATATATATATATAAGAAAAGAAATTTAATCTTTGCAGATAAGTTAAATAGTATACTCTTAAATATTGGGGAAATCTGCCAAGAAAGACTCTAATGAGTATCAATTGTTTCGCCGAATGTTTTCGCCAAAGAGAATTAATTTGGCTACTCCAGGGCTGAAAGAGAAGAAATTATAATTAGATACCATATATTATCTATTAAAAAACACTGGTGATGTTACCGTAGCTTAGAATTGTAGAGGTAGAATGTTAAAAAACTTAGTAACAACATAGTGGTTTTTTTACTATGTGAATTTTATAATATATGTGAATGCAGTAAAAATTGTTTTCACATAGTAACAAAAAAACACTATGTTGTTACTAGCAGTTTTTTAACATTCTAACTCAACAATTCTAAGTTACGGTAAGATCACCAGTGTTTTTTAATAGATAATATATGGTGGCTAATCTCTTTCAACCCTGAAGAAGCCAAATTAATTCTCTTTGGCGAAACATTAGTCTTTCTTGCGGATTTCCCCAATATTTAAGAGTTTACTATATATATATATATATATATATATATATATATATATATATATATATATATATATATATATATCTACAGAGCGCAGCTAAATCATGAAACAAATTCATTATTTTGTTAACAATTTACTTTATATGATAACTTCTGAAGTAGGATTAAAATATAGGAAATAAATCGATTTTTTTTTTAAATTAAATGCCGAATATGCGAACATGGTCATGTCAGTAGTTTTGACGTAGTGACAAAATTAATTTTTTTTAATTGAAATGTGGTTTGTACTACCCCCTTTCAAAGATCTTTCTTCTAATATTGTATTCAGTAATGGGATCAATTATTATTCCTACGGTGTGAACAAAGATTTATTAATTTTTTCAGTTTGAAAAGTTGCTACTTGCAGATAATTTGCTTTGAGAATGTTAAAATTTATTAACAATAAGCTGTTGTAGCCTATTTTAGGTTACACACCCGGTATTTCATAAACTATCTTTTAGTAAAAAAAAAAAAATGACAAAGCTACAGAAATACACAAAAAAATAACAGCAATTAATCGTCAAAAATTAAGATGCTATTCTTTGAGAAAAATCAAGCTGCCTGTCTAATCTTAATTAAAATATCAGTTGACGTTTTGTCTGATCCACCAAATTTCACCAAAAAGTAAAAAATGCTTTAGTTTTTAGTTTTGCAGCGGGCACAGGCATATCTCAACGGTCGGTATGATATGTTCTTAAGTACGAAAAGTACCATCAGTACAAAATTCAGTTACATCAAGAACTAAAAGATGATCCCAATCGTCGTAAACATTGTTGTTACCTTTTTTCAGGATTTATGTAATCGCAATCCATATTTTATTAAACAAATTATTTTTTCATATGAGGCTACATTTTGCCTACCGGCCAATCGTCACAATTGCAAAGACTGGAGTAAGGAAAATTCTCATTGAATGACTAAAGGTCATACTCAACACCATCAGAAAATCAATGTCTGGGTGGGAATACTTGATCGCACCATTATTGGTTCTTATTTTTTTGAAGAAAATCTTGCAAGGAAGCAATTTGAAATATCTGCAATTTCCACAAATAGAAATTATACCAGTTCTTACCAATATGTTTTCAAAAGCCAGCAACTTACCAGATGATAGAATCTGTTCATAACAAGATGGTGGACCTCTACCTTACCTCTACCTCTTAGATAAACTTCAAGCGCAAAATCTATATGAGTTGAAAGACCGAATTGGATAATTATTCCGGAAGTTATTCGTAATACGCAAGAAAAAATGTGTTCGTTGATTTTCTTATTGTCAAGACACCGGTGGATGGCATTTTTAGCATTTAATTTGGTTAGAAAAATATTTCGTAATAAACTATTGTAGTTCATTATTGTAAAATTATTTTCTGATTAAATTAAATTAATTTTTATTTTCCCTTTATAAGCATTAGTCAGTTAAGTATGATACTGTTGAATACATTATTCATTACCTTTCAAATGAGGTATTACAACAACCACATTTTAACATTCAAAATCCACAATTGCGCCACTGCACCGTGTCAAACCTAGTCACGTCATCACTTTCGCATATTTTTAAAAAACCGACATTTAAAATTAAAATTTTCGGGATATATATATATATATATATATATATATATATATATATATATATATATATATATATATTATTGTTCACTTGACTTGTGTATTTAGTTCAGCGCCCCCGGCGCAACTGTTTTAAAACAACGACTGAAAACTAGTTTAAAACCTAAATAATACCTGTCTCCGCATACTGAGCAAATAGTTTCGGATCAGTTGGATTACATGCAATGTTAATGTGACAAAATGTTACAAGTGTGCAAATGCTTTATCCGAAAAGAAAACTGTGTTTTTTATTCAAAAAGAATATTTCTCGGTTATCCGTAGACATCTGAACAAATTATTTTTTATTTCACGTTTAGATTTTTCGTTACGTTTTCAATTAGAAAAAGTTATGAGTTATTATAAAAATAAATATTTTTTGTATTATATTTTTCATTTTTACTCATATCCAACTGTCAACTGTAATGTCTACATAGAATTAAAATAAAATCATAAAATATAAATTATTAAAATAAATACAATTTTTTTTTCAAATGTTCAGTTAACATAAATTCTATACCCCATATAAATATAATATTTAACATAAATTCTTTATACAATTGAAATAATTTAAACAGTATGTTTTGATCTTTTTCATATAAATTTCCGTATAATTTATATAATTTCTATATAATCTTAAAATATTTATATCCTAGGTTTTCCAAATATTCAGAAAATAAATATGAATCTTTTGTCACTGCAACACATCTGTGAACACGGGATGAGATTCGAAACAAATAGGTTAGGTTAGGACACTAATTGAACATCATTTTCAGCCAGATAATCTCGTAGACGAATATCCATTCAGCGTAGCGGAATGTCCACGGTCCGCGGAACCACTCGTCACAAAACAGTTGCGAGTGCCATCGGTTTCTGTTTCAAACCGTAGTTTTAAAACAGTTACGTCGTGAGCGCTGGGCCTTATCGGTTTAATATAATCAACTAAAATTTATCTGATTTGACAATGTAATTTAAATGTAATCAATAAACAATTCGGTATCCAGTATCGAATATTATATATTTTCAAAGAATTTAAATTCAATTTTCAGTTTTAAAAATCTGTATTTTAATGAAATTAGTTCTAAGCAGCTTTTTTAAACAAATATCTACACTTATTATAAATTAAAATAAATAATCAAGGTTAACTCTTTCATTTAGCCCTGTACAATTTCCGAGGCTATTACAACTGAAAAAAGGTTTTTCATGAGCATTGGCACAAAGTCTAACTAATCATCTGATACTCTAGATAGAAGGAAACTAATCACAGGGAGTCCTGAAAACTTTAATGTTGAATGTTAAGTCTACATAGACTTCTTAGGAGTTGTTTCAGCTAGAGCTCCATATGAGGATCCTTTATCAATCTCGGACATACCGATGGTTTTACACATCAGTATATAGACTAAAATAAAATAAAAGGAAATTACTTATTTGCAGGTAATTAAAATTATATACTGCACTATAATTATTATACAATACAAGCTACGATATTGGCAAACGCAATCAAGTAAAGCACAAAAGTGTGGAGATGCTTTGAGCAGTGTTTCTTGGCTCTTTAAAGGATCAGAATTCATTCTGGGGATCAAGACGAAGTGATTGGTATCTAATATGTACATGTGCTCCAACTATACAGGTCTGTTTTAATTTATTTTCGGATAAAATCGCGAAAAAATGAAAAAAAAAAAACGTTGATTTTAGTGACTGAATAACCGCTTGCCACGCTTTGATCAGGTGTTTCTTGGCTCTTCAAAGGGTCAGAGTTCCTTCTGGGGACCAAGACGAAGCCATTGGTACCTGATATGTAGGTGTGCTCCAACTATAGAGGTATCTTTTAATCTATTTTCGGTTCAAATCGCGAAAAAATGAAAAAAAAAAACACGTCGATTTTAGGGACTGAATAACCGCTTGCCACGCTTTGGGCAGGTGTTTCTTGGCTCTTCAAAGGGCCAGAGTTCCTTCTAGAGACTAAGACGAAGCGATTGGTACCTGATATGTACGTGTGCTCCAAGCATAGAAGTCTCTTTCACTCGTTTTTCGAGGCAGATCGCTAGAAGAATGAAATAGCTTTAGCGAACAAATCAGTTTTTTGTTGGAAAAAACTTAAATTTGCTTTTTTGGTATCAACCTACAGAAAAAAAATGTTATTGCGGGGTACGGGCAGCAAATTGCAATATCACCATATTTGGCACCAGTTAAGGTGCGAATTTTTGTAGAATTCCTCATATCCTCTAGAGATGTTGGCGACCACATTGACCCATCTTATTCTATTCACAGCAGCACGAAATAAATCAGTTGACGTTAAACCAGTCCACTTCCTAAGATTAGTCAGCCAGGATATACGCCTACGTCCAGGGCCTCTCTTACCCTCAATATGCTGTGGTCGAAATAAGCCAATTTTCTGTTCTTTACGGTGTTGATAATTTCTTTGTCTTTTCTTAGCCTCTGGAGAAGTTATATTACTTGTGTGGTGTATATATGAGACCCTCAACATACGTCGGTAGCACCACATTTCAAATACCTCTAATCGTTTTATAGCATCTTCTGTAAGACTTTAGCTTTTTACTCCATAGAGAAGGACACTAAGGACGTAACATCTAAGAATTCTTATGCGTATATTGATAATTAAAGATAGGTTGCAGATAATCTTTCTAAGACTGTTAAAAGGGCTTCTGGTTTTTTCAATACGAGTTTTTATTTCGTAGTTTTTAAACTATTCTGTTTAAAAGAGGAATGTATGTAAAAACCAAATTTGAGATTCCACGCGTCAGCAACTGTAAGTAGAAATATTTGGATATAGTTAAGCGAAATCATGTCTATACAAACAAATATAGAATAAATAAATAACAAACTTGGGACTAAATTTTTTACATTTATTGCAATCTATGCAAACGACGTGACGCGATACCGAAAATTTTTAAGGGCCATATGTTCAACAAATTCCAAGGTACGATATACTACAACAAACGATAAGGTATAAATCAGTGTTTTGTTTGTCTTCATTGGAGAACCGTCTCTAAATGAAGCCAAATGTACGTTTAAAACTTTTTTAAATCTTCGTTTCTGCGAATGATATTATTTTTTGCAAAGTTTTTGTGTTCTTTGTTTCGGTTTTTTTTTAAGTTAGTTCTCAATAATGAGTAAGTTATAAATTATTAGATCTGTATTTCTTATAAACTCTATGTCATCTTCGTATTTTAGAGAACTGATGAAGCTTTAGAAGTATAGAGCGAAACGTCTTCTATAAACTTATGAAGTAGTTGACTTCTGTTTTTTATTTTGCGAACCTGAATGACCGATTAAACCTCTGAATTCACTAGTTTAATACTTTATTAATACAAATTGACGGTCGTAGTCTTTAATATATATAAGTATATATATATAAATATATATATATATATATATATATATATATATATATATATATAAATATATAAATATATATAAATATATATATTATATAATATATATATATATATATATATATATATATATATATATATATATAAAATATAACACTGTTTTTGATGGGTTGGAGTCAATAAAAGGGGCTATTTGTTGACTATTTTTTACTCGAGCTTTCAATTGAGATTACAATTTTTATCAAGAGCTTCTAAAAAATACAAAATGTCCTACAAAGTTGAACTAGAAATAAAAAATTGTTTGTTAACTCACCAAATAATTTTTTTTTTTTTTTTTTATAAACTAATAAACACTAATTTTATTTGGTGAGTTAACAAAAATTTTTTTATTTCTAGTTCAACTTTGTAAGACATTTTGTATTTTTTAGAAGCTCTTGATAAAAATTGTAATCTCAATTGAAAGCTCGAGTAAAAATTAGTCAACAAATAGTCCCTTTTATTGACTCCAACCCATCAAAAACAGTGTTATATTTTTTCCAAACGAGTCACAAGTACTTCTTTTTTCTTATATATATATATATATATATATATATATATATATATATATATGTATATATTAATATATATATATATATATATATATATATATATATATATTAATATATATATATATATATATAAATATATATATATATATATATATATATATATATATATATATATATATATATATATATATACATGTAATTGATGGATCATTTTAAAAAATTTTAATAAATTTCGGTATTATACTTACATGCTCCAAGGATTCCTGCTCCAATAGAGAAATAAACTAATTCGCCGCTAAACAATAATTTCATTAGGTAATATGACATAGGAACTAAAGTAATAAATATCCAGAAGATGAAATTGAATATAGAATGCAGCCTCGGTTTTACTACAAACGAATCCACACGAGTTACCCCTGACGTTGCAAAGAAATCACCTGTGTTGATAAAACTCTCCTTCATTTTGTCCTAAAATATTTAAAATAATTAATTAAAACCTATAATGTACATACACGTCTAGAGTATCTCACGTTAATATGCTTTATGAAAATAAATTTTTTCATCTACTTCTTTTCATCTACTTTCATACAATTCTAAATTTCAGTCAAGCTCAAGATATAAATTTCAACTATTTTTATTATATGCTGGTCAAAAGTCCCCCGTCGCATGTTTTGAACTTATAATAGTGAAATTTGGTGGAAGGAAATAAACGGACCTAGTCTTCTCAACTAGTTATAACAGGTAACGTAATAATTATAGATGACGTTACAGAGCCACTCTGGCCAATAATTTTAAATGGGACCTTATGGCAAGTGATATCTCGTTTGAAATGTATTGAAAATACCTATTCAATGATACTAATTTTGTTTGGGTTTAAGCTGATTTTGATGAATAAATTAAATAAATAAATTGTTTCTCATTCACCAATTATTAAGACAGCTGCTACTTTGTCGGATACAGTACTACCATTCTGCCTATGTAAACATTTAAACGTCTCTTTTCAACTTTTCAACCAAACATTATGCTTTACTTACGTCGCTAAAAACGGTTAGTGTTATATGCGAAGTTGTACTAATCGGACTACGTTGTATATATAAATAAAAAGACTAATATGTTTTTGTACACACTTACGACAAATCGAAGCATGGAAAAGTATTTTTTAAGTGTGTAAACTTTTATTTCCTAATGAGCGTATTAGGCTTGCAAAGTCATCTTTAGAGCTATAGGCCAGGGAAATAAGCAAAAAAAGTACCCTGTTTTTGACACTCGTCCGGCCAGGCAAACGACAGTTGTTTTGAATAGTATGGACATCTGTAACAAAAACCTATATGTTTCCTGCAGTCGATTTTTTGGACTTAATTAGTTATTAACAAATTAAGGTCAAAAACGGAAAATTTTTGCTTTTTTGGTCTATCAAGAAAAGAAAGTTGAGTCATATAAAAACCTTCAAAATGGCGTTTTCTAAATGTTTCTATCCTTATTTGTTGCTTAGGAAGTTGCAAAATAAGTCAAAAATTTCGGTTTTTTATAAATGTTAATTACTTTTTTGAAAATAAACTTATAACATTTATATTTTATTTAATGCTGTGTCATGTAGTGCTTAAAATATGGTCAAAATTTCAAAGTGATCGGTCAAATAGTTCAAAAGTTATTATATTTGTTTATCCCAAATTAACATTTTTGCAACAATATAAATCAGAAAATTATACAGTTTTAGTAATTGGAAGGGTAGTTTCTGAAAGATTTGTTTTATTATTTACATTAAAAAAAAAATAAGAAAATCAATTTTAAATATTGCAAAATAATTTTGCAAAAACATGTTGATTTTTTGCTTATAAACAATTAGAATCACTTTTTAACCATTGACTGTAAGGATATTGTATTTAAAAAGCCTGAATTTTTCACAAATTTAAAGGAAAAAAAATTGTCCTAAAATAGTTTGGGACAAAGTTAGCCTCTTTTTTGATTTAATTCATAGCTCCTTTGATTATAGCACTTAAGAAATGTAATTAGGGCTATTTGAAAGAATATACTTTATAGTTTTAAATTACTATATTTTAAAACTATTGCCTATTAATGGAATCGTCCACAAAGCTTCAAAATGTGTGTAAAATCGGTCGGCTTTGAAACACGCGGGTGCTGAAGAGAGGGGGAAGGCGCTGTTAACTGTATCTCTGTTCCTTTTTTATGTATTTCAACATTTTTTTTTGTAATTTTACTTGTATGTACTTTTTGCGTACATTACGAATATACATTATTTCAATAAATACATTGTCAAATAAACCGCCTAATTTGTTTAAAAACAATTTTTTTAGTTATATTTAAGGTAAGTTTGAATGTAAAACAGAAGTATTTGTCATTTCCTATATTTTGGGGAATAAGCCACAATTTAAGTTTATAATAAGGTTATTTTTGACGTTTTTCTTTTAATAAATTTTGTTTTTGGTTATTTAATAGAAAAATTGTCTGATAACTCTTCTGGATGATTAATTAGTGTGAGGAAGCTCAGTAGATTTGTTATAGTAAAAATTACAAAAAAAATATTGACAAAAATTGCAGGCAGCTTTAAACTCCACATTTTAAAATTAGTTACAACCTTACCGGGTGTTCTATAAGTTTTTATTTTAAATTTGAAATCTGCTTCACTTCCACATCACAACAATGTAAAGTTTTATTATGTTATACCGAATATTTTATAAGTTACAACCAATATTACCTAAAAATCGTACCAAGTTTATCTCCATGTATAATTAAAAAGGAGTATAGGAACATTGATCTATTGCAACCATACTGCCCTGCTAAGCTAAAAGGTCATATCTACCAATTTTGCTATTTTGAGAAAAACGCAATTGACTTTAGTTTGCTGCGCAATCCGTAATATTAATGATACCAAACTGTAATTTTCAATGAACTTGATTTGTGTATATACAATTTATGGGATAATCCACGAAAGTAATTAGTTTAAAGCTTAAGGACGGTTTAGCTTAGGATTTTATTAAAAATCTCAGATAGGACGAGATATTTTATAACGAACTTTTATTGGACGTATAACGAGACATTGTTTTACATATAAAAAAAACTTGACTAAAAATCAAAAACTAATTCAGTAACGAAATAACGACACAGAAAAGAAAACAATTTATTTAAAAAAAAATTTATAAAAAATAACCGACAGAAAATTAAAAAAAAAAAAAATAACAACACATAGAAAAATAAAAAAAAAACAGTAATTTTAACTTATCTTACTTAGGTAAGGTGCTCAAAATGACCTACCAAAACATCTATGCATACTTGAAAGCGGCCATTGAAAGAGTTGCTTACATTTGTACATCTTACAAAGCATTTGTAAAGAAATATTTTGAAATGCAATTCGGATACTATTTTTCATATCATCCCTTGTTGTTGGAAGTATTTTATATACTTCGTTCTTAATGTAACCCCAAAAAAATGAGTCTCTATTTTATTGAATTCTGGTAACCTTGGGGACCACCTTACCGGTCCATCCCTTAAGATCCACCTTTAACCAAACTGATCATTAAGTTCACCACGTACTAATTCGTTGGGGTGCGCAGGAGCACCGTCATGTAGAAACCACATTTATTCACGTATATTAAGCGGAACCTCTTCTAATAATATCAGTAATTGATTTACGATAAAATCTAAATAAATCCATAATAACCATTTAAGTTATATTAAAAAAAATATGGTCCTACTACATGGTTACCCACGATACCTCCCCACACATTTAGAGATTATCTTGTTTGACTACGTGTTACTATGTGGTATGGAACTTGTTGAATAGTAGTGAAAGTTATGCCTATTAACAGAACCGTTTCGATGGAATGTAGCTTCATCATCAAATAGGATATAATCAAAAAAATCACTCTGCTTATTGATTTTTTCTAAGGCCCATTCACACAATACTATTCGTTTCTGAACACACTCATTTCGTTTTCCTCTGTCACACTAGTTTTTGTTCGTTCATGTTTTTCATAATTCACTGAACCAGTGTAGGGATAGATACATTTGAGAAATTGATCTTTCAATTTCTCAAATGTATCTTGCTAGGTTGCATCTGGAAACCGTTCTTGATAAATTCTAGCTGATAGTAATGCATTTTTATTGCATTCCCCTAATATCCAGATCATATTCACCATTTCATCAGTAGTAAAATTCATTATTGCTAATTTAAATTGAATTAATTACTGAATTGCTAAATAATAATTGTTGCTAAGTTACGCTGTACCCCAATACTGAATTAATAAACAATAATGTCAAACTGTCAGTTTCTGACAAATTAATCATGACCAACTCACAATAATTATTGGTAAACGTTAAAATATATACGAAATTAATACTTTGATGGAAAAATAAAAATATCTAGAAAACTGATAACTTTAGGTATAGGGAGTAGATACTCCATAAAATTTGAAGTACGATACCATACTTTTGATATAAAATACAGGGTGTTCTATTTAAAATTATCAAGAAAATAATATACTTGCATTTTGACTTACCCTGCATTTGATTTAACGAATATTATGAAAACGAATATATTCTATAATTTTTAACAATTATTAAAAAACTATTGTTGCAATAGATCAATGTTCATATACTCCTTTTTAATTATACAGGGACTTAAACTTTTATTTATAAATCGAGAGTTACGATTTTCACGTAATATTGGTTATTATTGGCTAACTTTTTAAATACCCTGAATAACATAATAAAACTTTACATTGTTGTGATGTGGAAGTGAAGCAGATTTCAAATTTATAATAAAATACAGGGTGTTTCTTTAAAAAAAAACATAAGATTGGTCTGGCACCATCTTATAGAACACCCTGTAACTTATTTTAAAATGTGGAGTTTAAAGCTGCCTACAATTTTTGTCAATAACTTTTTTTTGTAATTTTTACTATAACAGATCTACTGAGCACACTAATCAATCACCCAGAAGAGTTATCAGTAAAATTTTCTACCTAGTAACCAAAAACAAAATTTGATCAATTTATTAATGTTCTGTATTTTGAGAAAGATTTCCGAAGTAGAAATCGAAACGTCAAAAATAAACTTATTATAGACTTAAATTGTGGCTTATTCCCCAAAATATAGGAAATGACAAATACTTCTGTTTTACATTCAAACTTACCTTAAATATTATTAAAAATAAAATTAAAAAAAAATTTGCTTTTAAACATATTAGGTGGTTTATTTGACAATTTATTTATTGAAATATTGCATATTTGTAATGTATGCAAAAAGTACATACAACTTCAAAAAGAAACGTTGAAATACATAAAAAAAGGAACAGAGATACCGTTAACAGCGCCTTCCCCCTCCCTTCAGTTCCTACGAGTTTCAAAGCCGACCGATTTTACATAAATTTTGAAGATTTGTGGACGATTCCATTAAAGGGAAATATTTTTAAAATTTAGTATTTTAAAACTATAAAGTATATTCTTTCA